AATCAAAACACTTTGTAACTAATGATGTTTACAGAGCCTACCTGTTTTCCATCCATGGCGGCTTTACGCGGCGATGTAACAGAAGTCATAATAATGTTTTAACGTTTCGATTTGAAACTCGATAGAAAAATAATACAGTCAAAACTTATTTAGTGGAGGCACAAATTCCAAAAGAAACATTACGGTGCTGATAGGTGGTTGTGAAGTAAATGTGTTGTCATTCGCGTTTAGGTCAATTTATTCAATACTGTTCAATAGATGAAAATTAAATATTCACCACTGCTTGGGCCTTTATTGTGACACAGTCTTGAGAATTTGTATATCTCTATAGTGTGTAGAGTTGCAGTTAGTTAAAATAAAGGAAATATTAAAAAAAATAATAGAAGCATCCAATGCTTTGACAGCAACGACATAATTGAAATTTGTGTTTACTCGAATTGATGTTGAGCTAACGTACCGGCGGGGTACCACACGTACCACACGTAGGCTTTTACTCTTTGAATTCAAACAGATTAAAAATAATATGTATTATAAACGTAATTAAAAAAACATTGTTTGCTTAAAATTCAGTTAGATAAACGAAATACACACACAAGAAGTATTTCGTTTCACACAATAATTATTTGCGTTTTTCCGTAAATGCGTAGTAGTAAGTAATTGATAATACGTTACTTTGAAAATATGTCTAATCAATTTTCCCTTTCCAAAATATACATAACAATCAGTTAATGGTCGTGAAATCTTAGTAACACAACAATTTAAGTTAAGTGAGATGATTGCATGCTCTATCTAGGTTTACATGTTATTATCTCCTATTTGTTCATCATTTAACACTTGGGCTTTCATTAAAACCAACATCTCGACATGTAATTTTCCACGAGAGCAAAACAACGCGACGAGAGCCGGTCACGCGCGAGTGTGCGTCGCTGTAAGAAGGACGTTTTAGCACCTCCATAAAAAACTAAAGCGAAACTACGTTCAATAAATTAATAACTCATCGTCAAATGCCTCCAATTATAGGACAATTCGAAGCGGAGTCAAGCAGGTAAACAAAATAGAGCTGTTATAAATTTTACAAGAGCGGTCGGCCGGCCACACTGCCTTTTCGACCGCATTATGCATTTTTTTTTGTTCGGCTTTTTGCCGCTTGGCATTCGCTTTGTGGGTTTACTTCCGTCGGTACTTTTTTTTATGGTGGCGCTAACTTTGGACACAAAGGCGATATACGAGGCAAAATAGAGCGTTAGCGCCATCACTACATCGCGCACGAGAACCGAAAGTGGTCTCCACAGATCGCCGTTTGCCGTTTGTTGTGCGTCACCGCATCGGCATGTAGGCGATTTGTGTTTTATTCTTTCTGTTTTATGTAATGAGAATGCAAATATGCAGAGGACGCGCCGATGGAAAGTGGTTATGGTCGATCAAACATCAAACACTAGAATGTCTAGATTTTTGACATCACGCATTCCTTTAAATTTAATCTATCACTCTGTATTGTAAAATTTTAACGGTTATATTATTTAGTTTTAAAGATTAAGGCTAGACATTGCTCTTGGCGTTCTTTGTCGAATGTTATTATGCCCGTGACATATTATTATGACATATACAACAATTAAAAAATCCCACTTATGTAATTTATTGTGTGCAGTAAAGTACAAATAAACAAAAGCTATGATGTCATGTTCTTCAAAAAAAGTAACAGTATCCAAAACAATGGTTCTATTCGAGATGCGTAATGCGTTCAAATCACAATAAAGTACCGTACGGCGCATATTTTTGAAAATACGTGTTTACGTTATCTTTGGATCTTTTGCAAACGCCTTTGTCTACCTGTTAACTTTCCCTTACTGACATTCTTTTTTTTTAGACAGCGGTGTAATGTCGGTGATGTCTGTTTGGATTTTGTCTGCGCATCAGATAATCGTCATTGTGCTGCAAGCGCCAGCGGCACTAAATAGCCCGCTCCCGTACTCCGAACCCATTACGCATTGTTAGCGACTACAAACTATTGTTTTATTTCATACTATTCGAAATATTTAAATCTCACTTTTCAACGGTGAACCTTTTTGAAATTGAGCGTTACTGTATTTCTTTTTTTTTCTGTAAACAATACGAGGATGTTTAGTGTTATCAACAAATCGATGGATACTAAGGTGTCATTGTGGAACATCGTGATTCATGCTCATACCTTTTGTGTGAGCAATCACTGTATTAACTGAAATGTTGCATTGACGAAACGCCGTAAGAACTACCGAGTATAGATGGAACTATCAAATACCGTGTTAAAATATGTAGCCCAATATTTATTTAAATTGGTTTTCATTACAAAAATGTATCTGATTTTCTTTTCTTAGTTCCGAAAATAAACGATGGTATTAAGTACATCTTGCAAGGCAGCACTGTTTGGCATTTGCAGACTTTTAAGACTCACAATACGTAAGATTAGGTCAATTGAGATCCTTATTTATGATATCCAAGGAAGAGTATTGGTATAAATGATCCTTACAGCACTCGGTGGAAAGTATCAATAAAAAACCTGTACAAGAAAGATTATCCGAAACAAATGCGGGCAATCAAGAGGTTTACGTAAAGCCGTACGCTCGTTATATCGAAAGTGGATGATTTCTTTATCAGGCGCGGTGTTCGGCGTTGGGCGCGCGTGAGGTCTTTTCGGCCACGCCGCCGCCATTTTTTCTGGATCCTCTAATTATACGTTGAAAAATTTAAATTTGCCACTTCGTTTAAAAGATCGAGTATTAGATGTAATTTGACTCTTATTATTTTAATGGAATTAAAAATTATATCTTAGAAGGTATTTTATTTAGGCATCCAATATTATAGTATTTGAATATTATAAATGGCGTGATAACCACAAACATGATTTTATGACGCACATAAATATGGGTAATAGTTCAGAATTTAATATATTCTAGAGAGAGGGATCTTTTTAGAACATTAAATACCTACAGGTATCTAATAAAATTTCCGCTGCATATTAGCACTTATTTTTGCATTCTTGAGATGATTGTTTTGACAGTAACTGATTTTTTTGTTAGGTCTTTAACATTTTTAGAAGTAAATTTAATAGTTATATTTAATCATCCTTTGGTTGTATACTTTATTTTCTAGTTTATTCTAGTTAAGAATGGCCAAGGATTAATTAAGAACTTTTCTTAGCATTCGCTGTTCTTCCTCCTTACTCCTTAGGATTCGCATAGTAGCTGCTAATAAATGGCAAAGCTCAAAGTTCGTTTATTTCTTTAGATAAATTTATTTGTGTTACTCAAACAAGTCGAGTCTACTGTTTTACGACCACTAATCTACTGTAAAACCTCTCAGCCAGTATGATAACGAGATTTTCAAAATCGTGAGTAAATATTTGCCCGTCTGACCATTCCATAAAGCGAGATGAGAGGAACAAAAAATAACTTAACAAGAAGGTCCTGTGGGAGCGGCCGCAGGCTGAGAGAGGAATAGTGAGATGTTACAGGTGTAAAGGGGACAGATGATGCCACGCCCACAACCACCCACGAAGTCGTAAACAGTCCAAATCCTTTGCACGCATTCATGTATCCCAAATCGAAATCGCTCCGAGCATCCAAACCCCATTAGGCACAGGATACCCTCGTTTAAATGTTCACAGATAGAGACGATATTTCCTTGGACCATATAAATAAGTTATTCCGTGTCGTTTTCTTTTTGTGATTGTGATCATAATGATAAATAACTACGAGGATAAGTCAAGCTTGGGAATAATAATTGAATTTGATGTCTTAAGTATGAAATATTTTCTTTAAAACCTCTTTAATCAAAAGCGGAAAGTAAACCATTTGTTATATTTAGTTGTTATATGTAATCTGTATTTTTGTAGGTTAATGTAGCTAGGAAATACATCAAGGTATATTGCCCAAGGCTTTTAGTACTTAAGTAGACTGCGTGGAGACTTCACTTACTGAACGCGTAAAAGCAAAATCAACTCGTCCGAGAAAATGCCACAGACTTATGTATAAAATATGCTATAAACCTAGATAATTAGAGAGAAGAAAATAACATTGGAACTTACTATTCGTCTCAGATATCCCTTTCTCTCCGTCATTTGTTTATACAAAGTTGGCTTATATCTTGTTAAAAAGAAAAGCATTTATTACATGCATTTTAATGCATGGTATCTATTGTTTATCTACTTATTGCTATCGCTATTTGCAAAATAAATATTCTTTGATTAGTGTTGCGTAATCTTTACCATAGATTAAATGTATACCACAGATTTAATAGATTAGATGAGAAATTGCACCTATCTATAAAACTGATTAAAACCTCTTTGGTTCCTTTTATTAATTTTCGCATTGTAAAATTATGTTTGTGTAGCTTCTTAGATAATAAGTAAGAGAGAACGTGCATATTCCTTACTGTCTTCAATTATGACTGGCATGTTAAAGGAGAGGTTAACATTAGTGTAAACACGCTGAAAGTAATTTGAAGCCATTATCTTTGCTTCGTTTATTTTTTGTTTTTTGAAAGGAATAAAATAAAAGATAAAAAACATATATTGAAACTCGATTCGTCATAAGGAATTCTTCAAGGGACCCTCTTGAGTGGGTTGCCTCCGTTTCGAGCTTCAATGGTAGACCTATAATTTGTACATCCACATCGACAGGAATAATTAGTGGGGCCGTAACGTCAATAAGTTGCACATTCCCACATGGTCACGGTCAGGGCAGACCACGTAATTTTGACCTATTATTTTGTACCACAAATTGGCATCCGTCACACCGATAGATCGGCCGCGAACATTATTTTAATTTATATAACCATATATTTCTAATTTCCAATGTTAATTTTCGCTTTATTTTCATTAAAAGTAAATTTCATTTTATAATCTGTTGTACATTGTCTGTTTAATCTTTTATAGTCTGTTTGAAACTTGTATTTTCGTATAATATAATGTGTCATATTTCTGCCATAACTTAAAAATAGTTATTGTTGTATATTTGTTGTAAAAAAAGATGTTTCTTTGCTATGATACGGTGTTACAAGTGATCGTAGAAATCAAAAACGTGAGATCAAAACTACGGGCCTGCGGCTATAGACCATTTATTATTGGTGTAATTGGTTATTATTTACCAAATGGCATTCTATTCCGTGTGTACGTGGACTATAATTATGTTGTATCCGGTGCTATGGCGGTGACTCAAGACAAGATATTAATAAGGTATTTTTGATTTATTTTTAAGGGGACGTTGCTATAAAATGCAATAAAATCTCTACTTTAATTATCTGTAATCCATGGAAAATGTATAATTTCTATTTTATTCATTGGTTTGAGAAACATAATGACATAACCTCACTTTTAGAAATTAATATTCTGAATATCAAAATGTCTACATTGTAAAGATCTATCTATCGTTAAATATTTGTCTCTGTTTGCACATGTATCTAACTGAGTTTACATACTTTTTTATTGTCAAAACGTTAACTAACAGCTGCTAACCCTTTAAACGTTGTCAACAATAAGATAAATTAGCGACGCGTATTGAATGTTTCATGCAGACTTCTGGCAAAAGCGCAGGAATTTCCTCGGTTGAGTTGTGTGGCATATCTGTTATGCATATCGTTATAACTCTGTAACGGGGCTGCAGGCAAGCACACATTGAGAATGGTCGGATTATTCCCTACCGTCAACCCGGTCTGTCCCCACGTGGGGACAGATGAAAATAAAAAGTTTCATCCATCCCACCTTTTGCGACAAGAGAACGTTTGGAACTTGTTATATTTTCTTACGGTTCCATCTGTCATCTTATTGGTGATAGTAGGACTAAAAGATGGGATGGATGAAACTTTTTATTCTCAAGTGGGGACAGAGCTGGGTGACGGTTGGTATTAATCCGAATGGTCAGCCTCTACCTGTGCACCGCGGTGTGACGGTAAAAACGCGCCCGACGCTCCGTCTGCCTTAGCGTGCACAAAACAAACGACACGTAAAAAAGGTGGAACGATGCATTAAGTGCATATAAACATGTTGCCGCGCTGTCAATATTTGCGGACTCTTTCCCATGGGAACTCACCGAATGCGCGCTAAATCACTCCCATCGCGACTCTCCCGATTTGCTTTTTGTGTTTATCAAATTGACAACTTTTGCCGCAAAATGGTAAAGCCGTTGAAAAATGCTTGATTTATTTTTCGAAAAGCGAATGTGAAGCTCTAAAGGTATTGAATCTATACATCACCTACTAATTAATGAAACGTAACACTTAATATTCTGCTCCATAATTTTAGTTTGGATAATATAAAGCTATTCCTGAACTAGAATATTTTTACTTGTGGTAGGAAGGTGTAATTAGAAAAGTTGGAACTAAAATAGTAATTACGTAAAGGAAAAGAAAAAGACACCTGATTCTTGAAACGAAGCGCAAAGCCAGAGTGCCATGCATGCTAGTTTTATATTGTAGAAATCTTTTTCAGGTAAATGATTTACTACATTGCTTAAAGATTGTATAAAAAAACATTAGGTGTTTTTTTTTCAATTTGTCTGCTATTGTGATGACAATTTCTTGCCGGTCCTCGCAGTGTGTCGCCACAAAATAAATTAGGAATGTCCGATTTCAATTCAGTTCTTCGTGATTTTCTTTCGCAGGGCTCGACGGTATTATTGGTCTTACGACTGTATAAGTACTTTAGTTATTTTGATTTTTTCTTGGATTACCCCTTTTTTATTTTGCTTTGATTTAGTTACACTAAAACTTAGGTTAATCATATTTTAAATGGCATGGTACCTGTAAATCCTCTGTTAAAGTCTATAATTTGCTTTTTTAATTTAATTAATGTCAATACAAAACAGTTTTCATTTAAACAGATGGTTTTATAATCGTCAAAATATCACCATTGCCAAGATAAAATGTATGGAATAACAATGAAATTGCAATTTAATATGGGCTGACGGTGATCACAAATATTTGTCGCATGATGTCAGGAGCCAGGTCGGAGAGATAACGTAATTGTAAATACGTGTAGCTGTCCCTCGAATATATTGCCGTTGCCGAGGGATGCCAACGTTGTACCGCGTCGCAAGCCTATGCTCTAAATGCGTATCAGGGTTGCCAGAAATTACGAAATGTGCCGTACTATAAAAATGTACCGTATTATAAAAAGTTTTAATAAAGTTGAAAAGTTTAACATATCTTGAAGAAAAATTAGAGAAAAGTTAAAGTTGCTAAGATTTTTTACGTACTTGATTTCTGAAATTAAGTTAGCTTAATACAGTTAGTTTACAATTATTTCCTTCAATTAATTCTTCGCAATCATGTTAGTTTTGTCAACAAATGTGTACATTGCCTTATATCTTAATTGGAGAGCTCACTCTGAGTGAATTGTCGTTTAACTCTATCATGGTGTTTGTATCAAACGATGACGCCGCTTTGAAATGATAATTCATGATATCGGAGAGGCCATCGCGAGTAGCATGGCTTGTAGGCACCGCGCGACCAAGGCCCGACATGTGTACACCCATTCCACGCACTCTGTCCAGGTACCTCTGATGGAATGTTCGATACGCTCCTATAATGATGTTAAAACAAACTGTTAGGATGTCATTAACGCGGCTCGGACTCCAAATGGGGGAGGCCCATTTTAAAAATTTGTCCCATCCGTTTCACTCTGAAATTTATGGTTATCGAGATGCCCCGTTTTTCTTGAACCATTGAAATTTTATTGTCCAGTGATTTGAGTGGGAACATAGATAACGATGTTTTCGATTCGGGACACGGTTTCGTTTATGCCGGTGAATGGGTGCACATACCTAACCGGGAACAAAAAAAAATGTGTGACGAATGAATGTTTCTTGTTTGTTATAAATTACATCAGGCATGTAAATTGTGCTTTTATAACAGATATTTTTACAATACACTTAATAAATATTTATTTTTGTAATAACTTCAATACAATCTATGTTATCCGAATAAATTCTTTTAAAAATAAAATATCAATCTTCCTATTGTAGTTTTTTTAAAGAGATTGACATCAATGTGATTCAAATACTAAAGCTTAGTAAGATTTTAGGATGAGACTTTACAATCAATTGGTAAACAGAAGTGGAGGAATCTTTTTCACAGTATAATTTTATTATTAACGCGAGCACGACGGTTGTAAGTGATTGGTGCTTCAATCTGATTGGTTGGCATTATCAATTTCACCAGGTGGGATTTTGTTTGAGTTCTCATATTTTTATTTAAAAAAATAACAAAATAAACCCGTCTGCACTGATATTCAACATCATTATTAATTTACCAAAAATAACTAATTTAATGAATAAATTTATTGGCGAAATTATTACATGTTCTCTACATATATCATCGTATGCTAATTTATATGAAATCTATCTCAATTATGTTAGCAAATGTGATGCAGAGTTATATAATCGTTTAAAATAGACTTACAAATTGTCTATGCATATGTTTTAAATTTAATTCAAAGGTTATGTTGAATTTAAATTTTCGTTATAGACGCAAACTGTGTTTTCTATTTTAGAAATTAATCGAATACAGTAAAGTTGTACATTTAAGTATTAATATATCATTATATTTGGAAAAATAAAATGTTAATTTCTATTGATTTATAGTAAAAAGTAGTAAATTTTCGTACCTGACTTTTAATTTTTTTTTAACTTTTTTTCATCGATGTAGGACATGAGTTGTTTTCTCACAAACAAACGATACTCTAAACTCTACACCAGCTTTTTCCAATTTCACAATCATAGAAATATTTTCTAAAATATGCATATGTACGTAATACGGGAGCCAATATCTCGCTCGTTATGTATTGAACTTTATGGACGTGGCCTGCGCTATGCTAAACGCGCCTTCGATAATCTCACTTCTACAAATACAAATTTTATTCTGCGGTTTAATTATTGACAAAACTAATATAATGAACTGTAATCCCTTGTATTAAGAGTGTATTAATGTTTTCGATATTCGGTACGTTTACTTATGCAAATATTTTGTGTCGTGAAGTAGTATTATTGGTCTTCATAGTGGTCGAAGATAAGTAAGATAGATAATATTGCCGCGAATTTTCCAGATAAGTAAAAAAAATATGTTTACGTGCACGGATTATGTCTACATGCTTGTTATTTAAGAACAAGGTATGAGGACATATTTTCAAATATTTGATCGAGTCGTGTTGATTTTTTTTTTATTTATATTTAAAATGTTTACAAATGATTTATAAATTTACCTAATTTTTTAACCTCTAGACTTACGAACATAATGAATAAGCTGGAGTGTTTAGATACTTTAAGTTCTATTTACGGATTTGGAAAATTCTTTTTAGATGGTAGGCATACTTTTTAATTTTTAACGCAGCTTTTAGCCAGCTAGTACAAAATAATAATAAAACCATTGGAATGAATGACAAACTGAATATTTGTCTATAGAAGTTTATAGGATTTACAGACAACAAGGAAAATAAGGAGGTCGTAGACGAGGTTGTCTAGATTACTGGGCTCGATTTTACATTTCGTATTGGAAAAATAATGGCACAATCTGTATGACGAGTACTGCATCATTACCAATAATTGTAAAGTGAAATGCAGTAAATGATACGATGTGAGATTCTTTGGTTCGCACTTAACCGACTTTTTATAGCAAAGTTTCTAAGACCTCTCGAGCAATTGGGACGTCAAGAGCCCATCACCGTTATCGTGCGGTTACTTTGAATGCTGCTTTGTGCCCTGTCTTAGTGACAGCATGACGAATGGTCCGATGCAGGCCGCAGATAAAGCGACAGACACAAGCCCTGCCCGGTGCTCGCTCCGAGCCCGCTTCGTGCCCGCTCGATGCCCGCCCGGTGTCCTGTCACCGTCAAAAAACAAATAAGGCCTAATGATCGATCGTCAGACCTCTGTTTTGGAACCCCTTAAAATACGTTATCTCGACTTAGACCGTCTGATCCCAGATTCACACGGTAAGGAATATTTGTCATAGTTTCTATTTCTTTATTTGTGTAATGTTTAGTTGACAGCTGTGATAATATAAAATTAATAACAACCGAAATCATCTTTGAAAAACTCTGCAATTGCTATTACGTTTGATAACAAAAAAAAACTTTTTTCCTTTGAATTATTGTTAATGTTAATTGCTCTTGTAAATATTTGTACTTATTTATAAATCTAGAGTAAAATATTAATAGCTTACAGTGGCGAGCGATGCTAAAAA